TCATGGTTGCCCTTAAATGCGTGCGTTGCCGAATGCCACCACCCGTGTCACACCCAGCCACCTTCCCTCGACAGCCTCTCCCAGGGCTAACATGCCTCCTCCCTCGGCCCCTCCACCCCGCTCCGACACGCAGGCCCTCCTGGACTATGTGGAGCACTCATCGCGCAAGGACGATGTCGAGGTGATCACCCGCTCGCTGGAGACCTTCCTCCGCCCGCAGATCACCTACCTCACCAACCGCCGGCCGATGGGCATTGCCATGGGCAATGGCATTCGCCTGATCAAGAAGTCCCTGGCCTTCCTGTCCGGCAACCAGTCGCCAACCGTGCGCCCCTTCAGATCGGAAGAGCGTCGTGTCACCAACCGCCGGCCGATGGGCATTGCCATGGGCAATGGCATTCGCCTGATCAAGAAGTCCCTGGCCTTCCTGTCCGGCAACCAGTCGCCAACCGTGCGCCCCTTCCCCCCCCCCCCACACACACACACACACACGATGCGCAACTCCCCCGGCCTGCACGATCGCTAACCCCATAACCCTGCAGGAGGCCCTCGAGCTGGCCGAGACCATTAGCGACATCTTCGACAAGGTCGTCCAGGAGCGCGTGGTCCTTCCCCAGCGGATGATCTCCCTGCATGCGCTGAAGAAGATCCGCCCGAACGATGTGATCCTCACCATCGGCCACTCGTCCACCGTGCGCCAGGCTCTGCTGACTGCTGCCGCCTCGTCGCATCTCCGCGGCCCGGATGGCCGGCCCTCCTTCCGCGTCATCATCGTCAACAATGCACCCTTCAACGAGGGTACGCGCGTGCCCTCCTGGCCTTTTTGTCTCTCCCCCCCCCCCCCCCCCCCCCCCGCTCGCTGCGCTTGGCCCTCTCTGACATGGCTGCCACCCGCGCCTCCTCCGCCGCACACGTGCACCTCTCCTCAAGGCCTCTGCCTTTCCAAGTGCCTCGCCGAGGTCGGCATCGACTGCACGCTGCTCCCCTTCTCCGGCCTGTCGTTCGCCTTCAAGAACGTCACCTCCGTCATCATCGGCGCGCATGGGGTCTTCGCCAATGGCAATGTCCTCGGCCGTGTCGGCTCGTCGGCGGTCTGCCTGCTGGCGCGGAACTCCTCCATCCCGGTCATGGTGTTGGCTGAGACCATCAAGTTTTCCGGCGCCGTGCAGCTTGATTCGCTGGTTTCCAACGAACGCCGGTCGCTTCCCTGGTGCGTCAGCCGCCCGGATGGGGCATATCTCCCTCGCGCTGCCGCCGGTGACCTCCTAAACTCATCCTCCCGCTGTCCCCCCTCCTTCCTCCATTCCCCCCTCCGCCCTTTCACTGTGGCGGCACAGGCTTCCCCACATCGAGGCGTCGGTCGAACCGAAGGGCAGCCTCCAGGGGCTGAGCCTGATGCACGATGTCACTCCGGCCTCCTTTGCGACGCTGATTATCACCGAGATTGGGCTCCTTCCGCCGTCGAGTGTGCCGGTTGTTCTGCGTGAGTATGATGCTGTCCGTGGCGGGCCGACCGACTTCGAGTGAATGAACGTGTCACCCCCCCCCCCCTCCCCACGTGCCCCGGGCAAGCGACAGCCGTAGCAGCCGTGCGGCCCTCCCTCGGCACCCTGTTTCCGGCTGTCCACTGGATATATCCCCCCCCCCCCACGCTCACATATGTGCACACACACACACATGTACATGTGCACCGCCCACATCCGCACCCACTCCCGAGCCTGGGCGCCGGTGCTGACAGGGAAGAAGAGGACCGAGAAGAAGACGACCCTGCCCATTTCCCCTGGGCCTACCCCCTCACCCCACACTGTCCTTGTGCAATCTCCCTCCCCCTCTGCCTTCCCCCTCTGTCTCGGCCACCGACCACTGCCATCGCCCCGTGTGTGTGTGTGTGTGTGTGTATGTGTGTGCCTGCGTGTGTCTATGTGTGTGTGTATGCGTGGCATTGAGCTGGCGCCCCATCCTGTTGTAGCCCGCTCTGTGGTGGCATCATTTTCCCCTTGACAAAGGAGGGACAATACACCCCTAGATTTTCCGAAGACCCACCTGCTTCCCCGGCCAAGGGGACCCCCCCCCCCTGGCAGAAGAAGGGCCTCCTCCACTGGGGCCTAGGCCACCTCAAATGCAGCTGCGCAGCGCCACAGCTCTCTCGCCCGATCGAGGCTGTCTTGCAATTGGTCCAGGAGGGCCTGTGCCTCGTAGAGAAAGGCGCACTCGGTGTTGAGGCATTCAATCAAGCCAGGCACGCTGGCCGGTGACGACATCAGGGGCACCGGCCGGCCCGGCTGGGCCTCAGCCTCGCAAGCCAGGTCAACCCATGGACGTCGACCGGCCGAAGGGATGCGCATCTCCTCCTGGAGCAGTCCGCCCATGAACAGGCGCGCCTCCTGTGAGGGTGACAAACAAAGCCCCATGCAATCTCGGCAGCGAGCCTGTGCGGTGCGGAATTCGGCTGCCACACGATCTGCCCGGCGCTGTGCCATTGCATAGCGGCTGGCCGCGCGGAGCTGGCGCCCGGCCGAGCCGGGTGCGCCCGGGCTACAACTACCACAAAGACCTCGAGCGGTGGTGGTGGTCTCCCCGCAGCCACCCGCACACTGGCCAGTCGCGATGAAGGCCAGCACCGAATGCATCAATGGCCGCTGGCCCGGGGTGCCCTGGCGGCGTGCCTGGCCAACCGGCGGCGCCAGCACCACCGGGCGCGGCACGGCCGAGTACCACGCAAATATGTCTGCATCGAAATGTCTCAGCACCATGCAACAAACAAACAGAAGGCCGCTGGCGGCCGAAAGGCACGCACCGACACCCACCAGCGACAGAATCCGGGCCAAAGGCGGCAGGAGGCACCGCTCAATGTAGTAGGTCATGTCCACACCCCCGAAGTGGTCGGCATGCCGCAGCGCCCGGTCAAGGGGCATGGCCCGGCTGGCAATCGGCCCGGCGGCCAAGGGCAAGTCCCCTCGACGACCGGGGGCCGAGGAAGTGCCATACAGCCGGGCAAAGTCCCGCGGAGACCCGGGCCCCGGGGCTCGGAGAATGACCACGGGAAAGCGATCCCCCAATGCGGGAGCCGCCCGTGGATCTGCCGCCAGGAGGCGCTGTCTGGCCGCCGAGCTGGGGCCCGGAAGACGACAGGCGCCAGCCCGGCCGGGACGAAGCCGCTGGGCAAGGGAGAAGTCATGCAGCGAGTAGCCGGATTGCCGGGGACTCCGTGCGAAGCCCGCCAGGCGGGTCAGCTCCTCGGCCACCAAGCGCCGGAGGTCGGACAAGTCCAGCTGGCCGGCGCCGCCCGGGCCGGTGGCACAAACACACCAATAAGCCACCACCGGGGGCAACACCCGCCCGAAGACCGGCTTCAGGGGAAGATCGCAAGTGGGGCACATCCGCAGCGGGGCCGAGGCGCAAGCCGGCACCCCGGCAATGGCGGCTCCAGTGAAGCCCCCGTCATTGGGCATGGCAAACAACCAGCACAGAACCGTATGCAAGATGCGCCCCGCGGCCGGACAGGCATCCCGGCGGATGGTCTCCAGGCCGCGGCTTTCCAGGCTGCCTGCTGGCAGGCCGGAGGTGCCGTCGGTGGCCGATGGGGGGCCCGGATCAAAGCGTCGACCAGCATACCGCTTGCGCGCCACCAGCGCACATGGCCAGTATACCTTTTCATGAACCAAGCGCATGGGGGCGGGAAGCTCGCGCGACACGCGGGCCTCAATCCGAGCACCGAGGCGCATGGCGCGCCGAAGGCGAGCAGCCGGGCTCCCGCCTGCGGGGCCGCCGCCGGCCAGCACAAACACCGAGTCCGTATCCCCATAGAGGACCCGCGCCTCGGGGAAGCGCCCCGGCAATTGCCCGACCAGGGTGTCCAGGTGCCAGCGACCGGCGCCGACAATGGCATCGGCCACATCGGTACAGGGAGCCCGGCCGGTGGCTCGGGCCCCGGTGTATCCGTACACCAAGTTGGCCACCATCTTGAGGGCACGCTGGCGCGCGTCAAGCCGTGCGTACTCCGGCCCCGGGGCGACTCGCATTCGCCGCCGGACGCGCTGACGTGCCTGCAGCAATGATGCCAGCAGGACAGGCAGCACCCCGCGACGGTAGGCCGGCGCTGCAAACAGGACACCGGTCGGCGAAATGTGCAGAGCCCCGGCATCCATCAGGTCCCGGAGAAGGCCCGGTGGCGGGGTGCGCAAGGTCCCGCAGCCAAAGGCAATCTCAGTGGGCTCCTGGCTCAGGGGCTTCGGAAGGTCATCCAGGCGTCCGAGACATGTGGAGTAACTGCGAATTCCCAGGAGGCCATGCGATGGAGGGGGGGGGGAATGTGCCGAAGCCCGATCATTGAATGCGTGCAATGAGGCACCGAAGCACGGGTGTGTCAGAGAGGGACAAGGGGAGAAAGCGAGGAAGCGAAGAGATGACAAAGAGAGGGTGCGAGAGCATGCGAATGTGCCCATGCGGCAAGCATGGGCCCTCATGCGCCCGGCTTTCTTCCCTGGCCACGCACCAGTAATTATAAGCAATGGCCACTGAGGGATAGAGACTGCGGAAGTCCAACACCGCCACCGGGGCATCATCCCACCGGGTGGAATCTATCACGGGCGGCATGGTGCCGGGAGTTCGGACTCCCTTGGATTCCCGCCCATCCTCATCGGTGTCCTCATCACTGGAAGAGGGAGGATGCGCCGGTGTGGCGAGGTCCGCCCCTGTGGGCAGGTTCGCCCTGACCGGGGAAAAGGAAAACAGCCGCCGAGCCGGCAGCAGAACCAACGGCCCGGCATCCGGGGCTCTCAGTCGCCGCACATCGGCCAGTCGGAAGGTCGGCATCAGGTACCCTTCCGAGGCCGGGGGCTCGGTGGCCAGACCAGTGGGCGGGCTGCGCGGCGGGACCATGCGCATGGCCCGGGTCAGGACAGCCTCCACCCGATATTGGGACCCGCGTGGGGTATGCTGGCACATGGCGGCCAGCGGGGTGCCAAGGGTCCGAGCCAGCTCCGCCGCATCGGACAATGCCCCGGTCATCAGGAGGAGAGCCACGACGGCGTGTGAGCGCTGGAGCAGGGCCGCCCCAGCGGCTGCCAGCGGCAGGCGACACAGAACCCATGGCGGCAGGGCGGGCAAGCTGATGGAAGGACAGGTGAGATTGTTGCGAACCCGAGGGGGCAAGGGCGAACGGGGCAAAGCGACGACCAAAGCCACAGACCGAGAGAGAGAGAGAGAGAGAGAGACAGAGAGAGAGAGAGACACACACACCGGACGGAGAGATGATGCAATGTGGCCGCTGAGAGGGAGTAATCACGCAGCGCCAGGCGGTCGGTATCTCGAGCCACCAGGCGCTGCACGTCCAGCAGCAGACGCCCGGCCACCCGGACATCGGCCAGGCGGGGGAAAGGCACGCGCTGGGCCCCCGGCATTGGGGAAGACCAGGGCAGGGGGGTTTGTGAAACTGGCCCGGCCGGCCCGCGAGCCAGCTCATTCGGTAGATTAAGCCCTGGACAAATGGGTCAGCCAGTGGGCCATATACACCATTGCAGACAATCGAGAGGCAGAGAGAGAGAGAGAGAGAGAGACAGGGCGAAGAAGGGAGCAAGGAGAAGGGGGAGGGGCTGAAGCCAAAGGCCCATGGGAAAGGGCATCAGCGCACCGAAGCGTGCCCAGGCTCGCTCACATGCCCAGCCAAAACCGGCCCCGGGGCCCAGCATCTGGACTCGGTCGCCGAAGAAGCACAACAAGTCGGGATCCAGCTGGCGGATATGTGCCACAAATCCCCGGAGCAGGTGCACTTCCACCTGATCGGCCGTCAGCGCCGGCGTCGGGCGCACAAGACGGAAGGCCAGCCCGTGGTGCGGGTGTGCTGGCCGGAGATTGACGCACTGTGCGGCGGCCAGGTCATCCGCCAGCAACACCGAGGATATCGGTGTGTCGCCCATCGATCGGGCCGGGGCCACGAGTGAGCAGCCGACCGCTGTGACCAGAAACCCCCGGAGCCGATGGATGTGCGGATCCGGAGCGATGTGTTGGCCGGGGGGGGAATCTCGCATGTCGACTGCGCGGGAGGGGGGGGGAGGGGGGGGACAGAATATGCGCAACAAGCCCGATGGAAAGGAGGAGGCCACCGAGTCAGAGGGGCGAAGAGGACCACGGCGAGGGAGGGCCAACACGAGCGAGGAGCGACAAGAAGACCATGCGTCAGCGAACCAATGATCTCCACATTGACCAACAGGCAACCGGTGGCCGTGTCCACAAGGAGAGCCCCCGTCGCCGGGCCATCGGCCGGGGATGTGCCCGGGACAGCAGCCAAGCCGGCATCGGAGGCAGACCGCGCGGCAAGTGCCGACACAAGCGGATCGATCCACCGAAAGGAGCGCGACAGGGTGTCAGCACGAGCAGCCAGGCTCGGTGCCATGGCAGCGCGAGGCCCAGAGGACGATGCCGGGACTGGGTGCCGGCGAGCAAGCCCACGTCGCGGCAGGGCCAGGACCGCCGGCGATCGTCCAATGGCGGCCGGATATCTCCTTGGGCAGATGGGGTGTCGCTGCCGCTGGTGGAAGGGCAAAAGCGGCCCCAGGCGGCGTGTTGCTGCCTGATCGCGGGCGCTGCCCAAGCCAGGCGGCACCACCATGGCCGATGGAAGCCGGGACAGGGACCACCCCCGGGGCGGATGCACATGTGCATGCAAAGGAGGGAAGGACGATCAGTACACGACGCTCTTCCGATCTGCGGCCGGATATCTCCTTGGGCAGATGGGGTGTCGCTGCCGCTGGTGGAAGGGCAAAAGCGGCCCCAGGCGGCGTGTTGCTGCCTGATCGCGGGCGCTGCCCAAGCCAGGCGGCACCACCATGGCCGATGGAAGCCGGGACAGGGACCACCCCCGGGGCGGATGCACATGTGCATGCAAAGGAGGGAAGGACGATCAGAACGGTGCAACGGGACAGAACGAGGGCAGGGGAACTCCGCCCCTCCCCCCCGGTGGAGGGGAGGGCACATACTCTGAAAAGTAGTGTGCCGGAGGGGGGCATCCAT